CAAATTAAAAAATCTCTAAATCAAAATCCTCAAATGGAGATTTGTTTTCGGGATTGATTTGTGGTAACCAATTTGGAGTAAATGATAGGCATTCGATTGCATTCAACATGGTTAGAAGCATTGAGCTTGATTAAAGAAAGTTTTGATCGTTTCAAACTCATTTTTTCAGTTTGTACCTGAGAAATAGTCAGTTATCAAGAAAAATGTAATATTTCATCCGAATTATGATAATCATCATCTTTCAATAAGTTTTGAAAACGACTTAGTCGAAACTAACGCATACCATCAATAGATTTCTCTGTTTTCTGTATCAAAAAGGATGATTCTCACTATTCGAAATCTCTGATGTCTGGCGATGATCATTTAAGCTATTTTTCAGAACTAATAAAGCTATGCGTTATAAAATCTCAAAGTCAGTAATCACCTCTTCATTCTACATATCTCTTTCATACAGAATTGGATGAATGAATGCTTTATTGATAAACATCTTACTTTTTTCGGCAATCGTCATGATATTTCAGTTAGCTTACAATGGAGGTGTTTGTACTGTCAGCGAGAAAAATGGCACATATTCGGGTCAAATGAAAGCTCTCACCACCAAAGTAATAAGATTAAAATATTAGCTGCTGTTGGTTAGTCTAGAGTGAGATATTCGATTTTTAAGGTACTCACGATTTGGGTATATAGAAACATAGGATGATTTACATTAATTTGTTATTCAATCAACTGTGTATTTCAGCAGTAGACTAGAAGAATCTTTCTGAAATTTATCAATAGCATTAAGATCACATTAGTTTCGATACCTTCTGGAACTTAAGCAGTATCAATATAGATAAAGATCAACTAGTAGTTACCAGAATCTCTAACTCACGAATAGTTTCGGTTTTGTTTCGACTGAAAACGATAGATTATATTATATACTATTGTAACAAATTTACTACAAGTGTAGATGTATATCTTCAATCAGATGATAGTAACAAAGAGCTTTTTTATACCAAGCACAAATTAATAGTGTTCGTCCATTGCAATTGTTAATTGAATAGTATAGATCATAGAATTTAAAGCAAACATCTTTTGGTTTTTCAATTTGACCAATTGTTTCATTTATTATTCGAGCTTGTATAAATCCGTTCTTAATGAGATTTTTAAATTGTGGAGCAGATAGTTGATTATGAATAACAGAATGCATATTAATAAAGCATTGACGATCATTTATAGTCATTTCTATTTGATCGATATGAGTATAATGTTCAATTTTTTCATGAATAAAGCGCCATGATCGAAACAATGATAGATCTTGCGGTTGAATATAACCAGTTGATCCTTCAGGAAAAATCAATAGTTGACTGTCTTGACTAGGAAATGCTGCTCTAAATTTTGTTAGATCAGTTGGAGTTTCCCAAGAATCAAGGAAAAGAAGAAATTTTCTACCAACCAATGGGTGTAGAACTTCATTTAGAAAAACGTAGTGTTTTTCACTGCTACTTTTTCCTGACTTTGAAGCTCTCACTACAACATTTGGTAGTACAATTAAATCTTTTTGCACTCTTTTGCCGAATTCATTTTCTTTTTCTTGAAGGATGAGAAAGAATTTGTTTAATAAATGGCTATCAGCTAATGTAACCGGTTGTACTGTATACGAGTGCGTTAAGTTGTGTTTCGTTTTAACAGTGACTTCTGTTGTCCGTTCACCAGTAAAAGAAAGAGTCCTTGGTGAGACATATTCTTGTTGAAATGAATAGTGATCACTGTTTAAAATTTGATGAGAAGCATACTTTGATATCATAGTTCTCTTACTTTCGATCCAATTTTGAGCATCTAAAATAAATATGTATATTACATTAAGACATAGGAATTTAAAGCTTAAATAAAAGTTGGATTACCATTTAAGCTGCAGACGTTTCTGTTTGATTTAGTTCGAGTAATAATTTTATTATGTCTTCTTGATGATATTCTGTTTTTCCTTTTAAAATTATTGATAAACGATTTGCTTGCCTTGAATGTATCACAATTTAATTCTCTTGCTTTTTGAATTGCATAAAGTTCAAGATCATCATCATGAACGGCTTCTTTTTCAATTGTTCTTTTCATATAAAATTCGCTATACATAAATTCTTTAATTTGTTTTAATTTTTCTAATCCTGTACCGTTGTTTTCGATATATTCTCTAAACCTCGTAATATATTTCATGGATCTGATCTTTCTAAATCGATTGGAAATAGTTGCAAACCTGGCATTTGGATGTTGGTCAACCCATTCGATTATATTTTCCATTTCTTCTAATGTAAACTGATTTTGTATGCTAGAATGTTCATTCTCATTGTAATTATCCATGTCACCATCGTTTTCTTCTGTATCAGTCATTTCTTCATATTCATCGTCAAATTCGAGAGTATCATAAGTGTACAGCTCACTGAAGTAGCTGTCTTTAAATGACTTTAGAACTTCGAATAATCGTTCTGCAACAAAAATTTCATCGATAGTTGTTGCAAAATTTCCAGATCCATATTCAGTTTGAGCCAAATAGAGAAGATGTTTAGCAATGTTCAATAAATTCATGATTTAATTTAATAAAATAAACCTTTTTGTGAGTAGATACAACAGAGAATGAAAGAGAATATTTTTTCGATAGTATATTTCTTTGTAATTCCTTTACACCAATTGCAAAGAAATGATTAATAAGAATAATTACTTTTCCTTTTGATACTCTTCCTCCTACATGAAATGTCGTCTATCCGTCTTCAACAGCGATACTATAATATATAAACAGCCGTTTAGACCATCAAGTGATGCATCAATGCACTTTAATTTCAAATTGTACATACAAATCATTTTTCAAACATATCATATACCTTATTTTTCATTCCAATACTACTTAAGTTCCACAAGAAATCAAAACTAATGTGATCTTAATGCTATTGATAAACTTCAAAAAGATTCTTCTAGTCTACTGCTGAAATACACAGTTGATTGAATAACAAATTAAAGTAAGCCATCCTATGTTTCTATATATCCAAATCGTGAGTACCTTAAAAATCGAATATCTCACTCTAGACTAACCAACAGCAGCTAATATTTTAATCTTATTACTTTGGTGATGAGAGCTTTCATTTGATCCGAATATGTGCCGTTATTCTCGCGGACAGTACAAACACCTCCATTGTTAGTAAAGATAGCTATTCATGAATTGAGCAGTCTATTTTCTGAAAATTTTTCAGTCTTAAATCCTTCTCGTAATAAATTGCCACTTATGAGATCAATAATATCTATGTATTCCGTAAAAAAAGTGATGCATTGCTAATTCCACTCTACAAAGTTTACATTAAATTATAAAATATTGAGCGTAACAAGTGTTTTATTTTTTTTGCATCTTATAGAAAATTTTGAGTAACATTCACTCACAAAAATCTATCAATAAAGTGCTGCAAAAATCCCTACTGTAGTCTGTATACTAGAGTTGAAGTTAGTAGAGTTTCTTCCTTGCTGTTACCGTCATCATTACCATTCTAAGCGGTCAGATTAGAATGGATCAGCTAGTATATCGACATGAGCACCTCTTCAGGTTTCACACCGCGTAACAGTCAAATGAAATCCTTCAATTAGTTATATCTGTCTCTTAATCGCTACAGTACAGGCGTAATAGTCCTGTTCCATTACTATTGTATTTTTCAATATTCATATCGGGTGTGGATGTGAGTCTGCGTCTGAAAACCAACTGAATCCACACACCAACACACACCCAGATCCTTGAAAATATTAAGAGTTTTCTATATGAGAAATCAGAAGGGGACTGAAATTGAAGTGTCAACTCACTACGAGGATACTGACTAGTATAGGAGACTTTTAATTGAAGTACAATTCATCATATTCATTTAGGTCCATCACCTCCAATTAAAACACTGTCATATACGATGTTTCCTTTCGTCCATTAATCAATGTCGGAGGACCACTTCAAATTACTTGAAATATTCGACTAGAATCTTTGTTCTGTCTGTACACGCATTATGTCACCATTATTGGAAAGAACAACTGTGATGTGTTCTTGACAGTCGTTCATTTAGATGAATAGACATTTACTTGAATACGTTCACATGTCCTCAGATCATCCCTCCAAAGATATTATATTCAGATTTCATGCTACATCAGTAGACATCTGAGCAGATTATTTCTTCATTTTATTCATTTTCTCCATTTTTGTTCAGTGCGCCCTCAAACGAACCATATTCCTGTCATGTACCTAATAAATAAATAGAAGATTTGTAATGCTTATCTGTTAAAAATCTTCTCAGGAAATGTGATATTCATCTAGCTGAATTATTTCACTCTACCAAAATATTCGAACAGGATTTTATTTATTAGCTCGATTCATTTGTCAATACTTTTCTGCACGTGTGATCAACGGTATACTTTAACCCAAGTCGACCGATACACTGGAATGAAACCTTCCTTAGACCGATTCAGTTTCTCGAAAGATTTTTCTAAACGGAGACCAAACCATACCTTTCGCGTCGAAGTGAGTGATATTCTTGAACGGCTCTCTGATTAGGAATATTCATTTCGTCAATAGATCTTCCTCACATAACGAAGTCAGACAAATCTTTTTGCAGTGCATCGTATTATCGCATAGGAGCCTGATTAGGACAATTCGCTTTGTCCAGAGGCCTTTAAAAGCTTCACCCAGTGACCCACTTCGTCTCGCAGTGAATAACATTCGTGAACTGAATCGTGCTTAAATTGATCCATTTTTTCCAAACATCTCTATACCGTGACCGACTTATAGACTTTGTTTCTAAACGAGTGATATCCTTGAATGAAACCCTGATCAGAATGATTCACTTTGTCAAATGACCTTTCAAGCGCGACTAAGTGACACAGTTCGTTTTCCAATTAGTGATGTTCTTGAATGGTACCCTGGTGGCCACTATTCATTTTCTAAGAAGATCTTTCCGACATGACAAAGTGACCCACTTCCTTTCGGCGTGAGTGAAGTCCTTGAATATAACCATTTTTTAAACAATTTGTTTTGCCAAAAGACGTTTCTCGTCCGACTAAAGAACACTTCGTTTCGTGGTGAGTGATATTCTTGCATGCAACCCTGATTAGAAAGATTCATTTTCTCAAAAGATCTTTCTGGTGTGATTAATTGACACACTTCGTTTTGAAGTGAATAACATTCTTGAACGCAACATTGTTTATAACTATCCATTTTCCCCAAAGGATCTTTCTAGCTTGATCAACTCACACACCTAGCTTTAAAGCCAGTAATACTCTCGAATGCAACCCTTTTTACAACGATTCACTTTGTCTGAAGAAACTTCCAGTGTGACTAGGAGGCACATTTTTTTTTGGAGTGAATGATATTCTTGAATGCAACCCTTATTACAATAATTCTCCCCATCCGAAGAAACTTTCAGTGTGATCAGGAGACACCTTTCTTTCCGAAGTGAATGATATTCTGGAATACAATCGTTTTTACAACGACTCATTTTCTCATAAGATTTTGCTTCATCACCAAGTGATGTACTTCGTCTCGAAGTGAGCGATATTCTTGAATGGTGTCCTACTTAGAACGCTTCATTTTGTCAAAAGATCTTCCTGGCGTCACCTAGTGACACATTTTGCCTTGAAATGAGTCATGTTCTTGAACCGAATCCTGATGTAATCGATTCATTTTGCCAAAAGAGTTTTTTAGCGTGAACTGCTGATACACTTCGTTTCAAAGTGAGTGATATTCTTGAACGGAATCCTGCTTAGAACGATTCATCTTCTCAAAAGACCTTCCTAGCGTGACCAAGTGATACGCATCACCTCGAAGTGAGCCACATTGTTGAGCGGAATCCTCATATAAACGATTCATTTTATCAAAAGATTTTTCTAGCGTGATCACATGAAACACCCTCTTTTTGGAGTGACTGATGTTCTTGGATGCAATTCTCTTTACTACGATTCATTTTGTCCAGACGCTTTCCTCGTATGACCAAGTTGCATGCTGCATTTCGAAGTGAGCGATATTCTTGAATAGAATCTTTCTTACAATGATTCACTTCTCCTAAACATCCTTGTGGCGTAACCCAGTAGCACACTTTCTTTCGGAGTGACTGATGTTCTTGGATGCAATCCTTCTCACTACGATTCATCTTGTTTAAAGATCTTTCTGGCCTAAACCAGCAACACCCTTAGTTTCGAAGCGAGTGAGATTCAGGAATGGAACCCTTTTTACAGCGATTCATTTTCTCACAACACTTTCTCTGCGTGATGATCTCATACACATCGCTGAGAAGTGATTGATATTCTTGAAGAAAACCCTAATTTTAACGATTCAGTTTGTGAGAAGGTCTTTCTCGCGTGGCAAGCTGACACAATTCGGTGCGAAAAGAGTGGCATTGTTAAACAGAGCCCTGGTTGCAACAATTCATTTTATCTGGAAGATCTTTCTGACGTGACCAAGTGACATACTTCCTTCAGAAGTGAGCAGTATGCCTGAATGGAGTGTTAGTTACAACCATTCATTTTATTCGAGTATGTTTCTTGCGTAACCCAGTGACTCGCGTCGTTTCGAAGTGAGTGAGATCATTGAATGGTGCCGTTTTCTTAACGACTCGTTTTCTTAGAAGAATATTCAGGTATGACTTGGCGACACAGTTTATTTCAAAGTGAACAGTATTCTTGAATGGAGCCCTGCTCTTGACGATTCATCTTACCAAAAGATCCTTCTGGCGTCATCCACTGAGATACTTCATTTCGACGCAAATGATATGCTTGAATGGGGTCCTTATATTAACGAATCGTTTTCTTAGAAGAATATTCAGGTATGACTTGGCGACACAGTTTCTTTCAAAGTGAACGGTATTGTTGAATGGAACCTTCCTCCTGACGATTCATCTTACCAAAAGATCCTTCTGACGCCATCCATTGAGACACTTCGTTTCGATGCGAATCATATAGGTGAATGGAACCCTGCTTTCAACGATTAATTTGTCAAAAGATCTTTCTAGAATGACCTAGTGACATACTTAGTTTCAAAAGGATTGATATTTTTGAATATATCGCTGCTTGCAATGATCCACTTTGCCGAAGGATCTTTCTCGCATGACGCAGTGCGCACTTCGCTTGGAAGGGAGTGATATTTCTGAATGGAAGCTTGCTTACAACGATACACTTTGTCGAAGCATCTTTCTAGCATGACTCATTGAGACACCTCTGTTCAAAGCGAGTGCTATTTTTGAATAGAACCCTGGTTGGAATGATTCATTTTATCGAAGCATCTTTCTGTCGTGGCCCAGTGACATACGTCGTTTTGAAGGGAGTGACATTTTTGAATGAAATCTTTCTTATAGCGATTCATCTCGTGAGAAAATCTTCCTTACGCGCCGAACTGATATACTTCGCTACGAAGTGAGCAGCATTGTTGAATGGAACCCTTTTTACTAGGATTCATTTTATCAAAAAGATCTTTTTGACGTGACAAGGTGACACACTTCCTGTCAAACTGAATGGTATTCTAGAATGGAACCGTCCTTTGACCGATGCGCTTTGCCAATAGATCCTTCTTGCGTGAT